AAATATATCTAGATTTTACTCTGGCCTTTTTTCCATCCACCGATAAACGAAATTCCTTAGTCATTTTTTATATGAAATTACATTTTTGATCAGAAGACGTGATTCGATAATTTACTCTATGTAAAATTATTAACATGTTTGGCAATTGGCCATCAGTCGAAATTGTTTCATTTACACTGTACTCGCGATTACTCCAAATTTCAACGTGACTTTGAATTAAATAAAGAAAATTTGAATGTTTTAATTGTTATTAGATACCGTCATTTGATTGGCTGGTAGGGAATGCTATCACACAGGGCACGTATTGAGAAAATCTATATCAATCAAAAAGTTAAAAAAACCAGCTCCTTTATTTGTGATGTTATCGGAGAGAAATATTTATAAAAAAAAACAGACAACTTTTTCGGGGAGGGAAAATGTATTACGCATCACGCTCTATGACAGGCCTTGTCGTTATTTCATGTATTATTTCCTTGCCTTCTCATATGAGATTTTGCATCATGAAACACGCCGCCAACAAAGGAAAATAGAAGGACGGCTATTGTCCCAAGAAGCAATGGAAGGACTAACCAAAGAGAAAAGGGCCTTCCCTTTTCACTGTTTGAGCGGTATTCCTTTTCACTTGCAAAATTTTTCTCTGCCTCAGTCCTCTATAATGTTTTTCCCATCATGAAGTGTTTATACTTTCATGTTCCATGTTAAACTCGCTTGCTGATTCAACGGGAATGATTTAATGCTGGAGGTAAAAAGAAACAAGAAAGCTTCTATTTAGAAAAAGGATCCATGCCTTGCATCCAATAATTCAGAGGTATATAGCGGGGAAACTAAGTAAACAAATCCGAAAAAGATAGTGTACGAAAACAGATCATATATTGAAATAGCCATATACTGATCATGTACTGTAATAGTCCTACTTTACCTGAAATAAAGGATATATGTATCTATGTATGTATTTCTGCATAACGGATACCAGCTGTATGATTTAAAGATAAAATGGAGCAGTGCACGAGGAAAGAATTCCCTCAGAAGTTCAGTTACATCTTTCATATTGATGCTTGTGCAAATAATACAACAGTCAGGTGTGAAAACAAGGAACGTTATTAAAATGCCCAGCTTACTAAGAAAACAATTACGACATGTACATATCAAGGCTCTCCATTGTTTTATCGAAACGTTTTGAAGGTTTGGTGAAAAAATTAAATTAGGTATATAGCCATACAAAAGTAAAACTAGATTCCGTGAAATCTGATTCTCAGCAATTTTACTCAATTGCGACAAAAATTACTCAATCAGTTATCTAAGATCATAGGATACAACGAAACTATGAATAACCGGCTGTCAGTACTTTCGTTGAGCCTAACATTAATAATATGTATCAAAATCACTTTCAATTTTCGTACTTTTAGAGTACATTTCCATTATTTCCATGGTGAATTCCAAGTCTATAGCAAATTTACTGCAATGAATAGAGTGCGATTATCCCTCGCATAACTATTGATTTTTTTTTCTATTTTTTATTTCCGACAAAATAAACAATCTCATGAATTACGCAATTAAGAATAATGTAAATCATGGGCGAGAAAAAGACAAGTGGAAACACATGCACACTGGAGTGGATCGTTTCTGTAAAAGCCTCCAGACTACAGCTGAGACCCAAGGCATTGTGCTTAAAGTTTCACTTGATCTTTATTGGATATTTAACTCAAAATGCATAACTACTCCAAGCTTAATCTACAAATGCTATCAGGATGGCCGGTACAGAAGGCGACACAGCTTATGTCCCTCTAAAGATTAGTTTCATTGTCCCCATCATGATTACCAGCATCGCTCGCCCCTTCACAATTCTCCCCAACGTGCTGGTGATAAAGTCCGTGAAAACGACCACTCGACCCCGATCCAGTAGAAACATCTTGCCGTCCTGTGTTAAGCGGTGACTGACGCATCAACTGGTCTCCTTGGCCATATATCGTACATCCTGTGGGCAATGTTCCTATTACTTAGTCTTAGTTACAGTGCCGGTACGCTTGAAAATTTCTTTTCTTCTACTTTGGCTGTATTGACAACAGCCCCCTGTCTTCATTTGATGCTGGTTACATTCGAGAGACTCATGGCGATTAAATTTACGATGCAATACTCAAACTTTATAGCTGGTAGGAACCTGAAGACAGCGGTGATGGTGGTCTGAATTATTTCTTTCGCGTGTGGGATCTTCAGCGCGCTTCAAATATAGTTTTACTTCCCATAGGAATTTTTTTCACTGTTTCAGGTATCGTTTTCGTTGCGGTGAGCATTTTTTTCCTCTTGGCCCTTCCTCGCGCATACTATCATAATTCTCAATTGTGTAATTAGTGTTAATATTTTGGAAGCCACAAAATGTAGGTTTGGTTAGACTATTAATAAAAGTTTGAATAGGAGAAATACACCAAAAAGAGTTGTAGAACGACAATTTCTGATAAAGAGACAACTTTGAAAGAGCACACTAAGCGAGATATGAACTTAAATTAATTGCATTCATACTCTTTTTCCGCTATTACGACTTTAAAAAATCCACCGTTAAGGCCATCTTTTAAAGGCTAAGTATACACAGAACCGCTTTCTATTTCCAAGTTCAAGTTTCATCAACCAAAATAATGTTTCCTGCCTAAATGGATTTTCTTTAGTTTCAATCAAGTGGGAATTGAACCCAAAGATCTGCAGGCCAAATGGATGGCTTTTTTCAAACAATATCTTTTTGCTCCGCTTTCGTGTGCACGTGTTTCCACTGCGATTTTTCTCGCGTATAAAACAGTACTGTTTGTACTTACAAAATTAATAGAGTTAGAAACCACAAAATATTTGTTTGGTGTGATTAGAGAAAAGTTCGAAGAGAATGAATAAACCATCATTGTATAAGAACAAGCAAAAATTTAGAAGGTTGGCACGAATAAAGGTAATTTCCATACTTTGGACTTATTTAGGCCGGTATGGTGGTCTAAAGTTAAACTGATGTTAACGCATTGAACTTTATCGCTACTTTGACCGTGATCTTCTGCTGAGATTATCCTGAAAAGCTTTTGGTGGATAAATCAGGTGCCTTTTATCGTACATTCGAATTTGATCTAACGCACTTGTTTAAATGCTATTTTGAAACGGACCTCGTTTTTGGGTCAAATCAAATTTATTGAAAAGAATTGAATATTTTTATTTGGCCTAAGCCGCTCTTGAAACAACAAGTGATGGTAAACACGACGAAGCAAAAAAAAAAGTGCTTCCAGTTTTTCCCTACTTTGGAGAAAGGTCTATTTCTCTCAGTCATGTTCATGGTATTACCACCAGAGGCCAATCCAAACCACAAAGTAAGACCGACACTCAAGACAGGCAGTATGTTGAACGAGGATACACAAAAAGGGTTCAAGGGTTGTACTTGAGTTACTTGAGTCTAGATTGGCTTCTGCTGACAACTCCATGGAGTTGTCAGCAGAAGCCAATCCAGACCAGACGAGCAGACCTATTTTCACCATATGCATCAAAGCGATTACTTTCATGTAGTTAAAAAAGGACTAAACAAACCACTTCGTTCTCGTGAGTTGCAATCGGCGGGATGCACTTGTAACTCACTGGAGCGTCCTACCCGAGCCCATGGTACCACCATCAGAAGCCAATCCAAACCACAAGGGAAGATCCTCATTTAAAACAAGCATCAGAGTGAATTGCATCAGGATTTCAACAAAGATGCACCAAAAAATTGTTTTCGTAACTTACAGTTGTCAGGAAACACTTGCCTCGCCCGGAAAGCTTGCGTGGTTCATGGCATAACCACCAGATGCCAAACCAGACCATAGGATAAAACCCACATTTAAAACAAGCATCAGAATGGCCGCCACCAAGATCCTAAATAATAATGTACCACTCCTTGTTTTCCTTAGTTTCAATGCCCTTGGCTCAGCCGCACGTTTTACCCGAGTTCATGGCAACAGCACCAGAAGCCAATCCAGACCATTTAACGAGACCTAAGTTTAATACAGGAATTAAAATAGATAGCATCAGGATGTTTTAACATGATACTCCAGCCACTTGGTGGTACCTCACTCAGCAGGCTCAACCATGCTATCCATACTATCACTACCAGATGCTAATCCAAAACACAAGACGATACCCGCATTCAACACAAGCATAAAAATAGTTAGCATCAGGGTGTTAAACAATAAAACACGACTCACTGTAGCCACCATTTTTACTGCACTCTCTTGTGCTTGCTTCCTGTGCAGTTCAATCATCCTGTAGGCAAATTCTGTTCCAATGGCAGATAAAACGTGCATGAGTTGGTGACCTTGGCCAATTAAATCAAACATTCCAGGGAAAATACGCTCTGGAAACCTGCCGCTATACAGGAGGTCGGATAGAATCATATTAACCACGTAACCAACGTAGAAACCACGGGATAATTTACTGCAGGCAGAGAACACTAAGCACGTGTCATCCTCGTGACAACTGCAAAACACCACACTCGCCAAATAAGGCTCTGTCGTGTTTAAATACCCGCGAGAAATGCAGCTGCGCGCAGAGATGTGCTGAACACGTTATTGATAGCATTAGTCTTACAACAGAGGTACGTCCCGAGAAAGCTGAGACAGCTTGCTACTGAGAAGAAAAGAGAAGGAAACTCGAAGATCATCCAACCAGTATTCATAGGTCGGGTGTAAAAAAACAATACTTGGCATGAAGTGAAGGTCATTAGGCTGATACCCGCATAGTCGAAGAAGAAACAGGTTTTGTAGGCCTTCTCAGACATTGGGTTGAAGAGACGCACTGAACCGCTTGTGAGGTACACAGTTACTGTTCCGATTCCAGCAGAGAGCATTGGTAAATTGAAAGGATCAAAGTTCGGATGAGTGTCCTCGCTTAAGGTCTGGGAAAAATGAACAAGAAAATACAAAGACAACAAGATATGACTCCAAACGTTAAAAACTTTGGTTGTGTAAATAGAAGAGGCTTTTTAAACACTACCAAAACGTACTGTTGTGCTTTCGTTATTCAGACTTGATGAACGGTTCCCTATGCCACTCAGTCGTCTCTTCATCGTTGAACAACTTCTTTTCGTGATGGTTTATCATTTTCTTGATTTCCTTGATTTTTTTAGTGCGATTGCGCAAGCTGTCCTCCATATGTTTGCGTCAGGCACTGAATTTTTTCAAAGAGATGATTACTTGTCGATCAGATCTAAAAACAAAGTAATAAAAAAAATATGATGGCTGTGAACTAATGACTTTTTTATTATTTACAATGGACGACATGTTTTCGCGTATTTATTTTCACAAGACTTAATTTTCGCGATTTCACGGTTGTCAAAAAATAGCGAAGTTTAAGACCCACATGAAAGAGTTTTAGCGAAAATTAAGCACGCAAAATCATTACACTTGGCTTACAATGTGGGAAAGCGCTACGTTGCCAAAAGATTGGACAAAGCAGGAGTTTCTAGGGTAGCAAACCGTGAGTAATCTCTTCCTCCGGAGAATCTATTCGAAGAAATTGACAATGTCCTAAAGCTGAAATCGCAAATAGGCTGTGTTATGTACTCTTGTACAGCTCCGCTTTGTTGCAAAGGAACGTGTCAAAAGGTTTTCCGTTTTGTTTTAATATGGTTTTGGAAACTATTGTTATGGAAAATTAAAAGCAGTTGTGCCAACTCTAAGACTAACTGTTTGTTAATGCAGATAAGTAATTTGACAATTTTGCGAAATTAATTTCCCTTTAATGCATATTTGTGGCCAATTCGCGAAATTAAAGTCCTGCCATATATACCCATTCCATTATCAAGAAATTAGGCTCCGGTGAAAATAATTAACAATTAGTAGACCTGGGAACTGCTTTTCATCAAATAACTCGAAAATCAAATTGCTAGGCAAAGGAAAAATATGTGAGAAATTATCAAAAAAACAGTAAATTTTAAGACCAAACTTTTGGAACTGATTCTTCGAAACCTTCCCTCGCCTTAACATGTCCGTCACCGACGGTACTGGTTCTTCTGTGAATAGGCCAGTTCCTATATAATTCAAATGAACCCCATAACTCGGTGCATGACCATTTGTGTAAATCGAGCATATTTCTTAAGATGGTGAGGGAAATTAATTTTAAGGTAAAGTAGCTGTGTTGCTAGCTTCTTTTCACAAAGAGCGTTTCATAGCTCGAAAACATCTGGTGCCTAAATTTAATAATTGTTGATTCGCAGGATTACAAGGATTTCAAAGGGATGATGGGTTTTACGCTAACGGTTAAAATTTTGGCCATTTTACGGCTAACGTTTAATTCTTTTCCCTTGCGATTGAAATAAAAATTTTTACGTTTAACTTTTTTACGACTAGCGGTTACAATTTTTCAATTTTAAAGCCTATCAGCTAAATTTTAGCATTTTTACGGCCAACGGGTAATCACATTGAGACCCTCGATCAAACCTTCGTTTTCAAACTTCATATTTTTGTAAAAATAAACTTGAAAAGTCTAGGAGGGGGGAATGAAACTAAGTGTTGCCAAGTTGATTAGATTTTTGAGCAGAAAATGTCAACAAATATAGAACAGGCAAACATGAACAAATAACATACCTGGGAAGAAACACACACGGAAACCTAAGGTGATCGTGAATTTTTGATCCTGTCATCTACGCTCTTTGCTGACCGTGACAGAAGAAAAAAAAAACACTGATGGTTTAATATTTGAGCGTTAAGTTTAATGAAATTTTGATAATTCTTTCTTGTGGACATTTTTAGTATCAAGAGAAATCCAAAGCAAGACAGATTTTCTGAGGAAATGACTGAGCTAGAGACCTACCGATCCCGGCATTCTCAAGTTTTTCTTTCAATTGTTCGGAGAAAAACTGATTGAAAGAGAACTTTCCTTGCCTGAATTCTAGTTTTGCAAAAACTGCTCAATTTAGAGAGTTCGTGAACGGAATATATTTCGTTCAATATAAAACCTTACATCCAAACGTAATGATGTGTTTGTTATGCAAAGCAATATACATTTTATTCAGTAAGTGAGCAAATATATGCAAGCTTAGGCGAAAAACCTGAGGGTCTTCGAAACTTGAAGCACAAACAAAAGAGCGCTCTAATATTAACACAAATTTAGAGGAAAAACTTGAGCTTGAAGTTATTTTCATGGTCTAGTCACTTCCTTAAATTGACTTTTTCTAGTACATCGACATTGATTTAACTGCTTCATTAGCTAAACTGGATTGAAGAATCGCAACAGGCTACGGCGTAAGTGATATGAATAATCAGACTTACGAAAGAGAGAATCTCTCTTCTTATGATTACATATCCAAAGACTGGAAGGAGCTGCCTTCGTACTAGTCGGGCAGTTCAAAATTATTTTCAGAGACAGATGAAACTTCTCTTTGAGCTACCATCAATAAAGTACGTTCCCAATGGTTGGCGAAAGCCTCGTAACGTCACGTGGATACCCCTTAACAGTGGTTAAAGCATGCATACATCTGTGCACATGTAGGACTGAGGTGGAGAGAGAAACTCTCAAGAATATGGCCCACAATTCCATGTATGAGCGGCTAAGAGTTGAACAACGCTAATCCTTGATGAGAAGGTGGGCTTTTCTCTTAGCGTGCCACCCCAGAATGTCATTAGGTGTCCCTGGTCATTGGTTGGCATCGTTAATTCTTCTGGGTGAGAGAGGCATTGTGGGAGTAAACTGTCTTACCCAAGAACACAAATCAATGACCCAGTCAGGGCTCGACCCCATACATCTCGAATCGAAGTCTAGCGCGGTACACAGTAATCATCCTTTATCATCTTTTATTTGCCTTATTTATACAATACAAAAATTTATTTGTAGCGGTTATAGCTAGAAGGCGAGGAGACCCAGGAAGCCACTGGGCTTATGGGAGGAATAGAGGTGTATGAAGGTTTCTCCCTATAGTAATTACGCCCCGTACAACTTCGCCCCCCACCTCGACATCTTCAACTTATCAAATGTAACAAGTTCGCCCCCAGAGCTTCCAAGTCGTATTCTTACGAAACGATCTGAAGATTTGGGGCGAACTCGTCGTTACGGGGGCGACCTTGTAGTGGGGCAAAATCTACCTGAACCGGAATAACAGGTAAGCTATGTGTTTGGGGCAAAAAAAGTGGCTACATAGGGCTGATCGAGACGATAAAGGGACAGTGTCAATGTAGGGCCAATTTTCAACCCTTACACTTTTGCTTTAGTGTACATATCATCCATACTGTTCTCTGTACATTTCCTATGGCACTGAAATGGAAAATTTGTTGAAAAATCAATAGCTTCTTTAGTTGGTGCTCATTTCCTTTATTCTCATAACCTTAATGCGTAATTCAAGGATAATACTGTAAAGGGAAATTAGATGCTGGTCACTCTTTGCGGCTAAGGAGTTAAAAACGGTTATGACAAAGCCTCAGAGCCGACAGTAAAGAACTTAAGATAGTTCACATCACAGATACAATCCCACACGGTCACCAACGGCGGTTTTTGCATTGCTTAGCGCACAAACTGAAAGCGTTTTACATTACATTCTCAAATACCCCCTCGCAGCTTTTAGATTCTGTTGGACAGGTTTATTTCATTTGGTTCTTTTGCAAGCATGTTTTCCTAAATAAAATATTTTTTTCTTAGTCACTTAGTTCTAAAGAGACCAATTCATGCTCTCAGGTTAGTTTTTATGAGAACTTTCCTTTTGCTTAAGAGTAATAGAAAACCAGAATGCAATACAAGCGTTCAAAAACATCACTAATATGGCCGCGACCAAGGTGTTGAGAATGGACACGTACGCGGTTGTCTCTTCCAACATTCCCCTGGCTTTCCGGGCGTTGATTTCAAATTCAACCATTTTGAAGGCATATTCTGTTCCTATGGCAACACAGACGTGTAGAAAATGATGACTGTTCCCGACCAAATCAAATCTTCCAGGAATGAGGCGTTCAGGTAGCCTGGTGCTGTACATGAAACCCGCCAGAAAAGTGTAAAATGCGTGACGCAGGTAATATCTAACGGGTAAACTGCTACAGGCGGAAGAGGACCAACAACTCTTGTCAGTTACGTGACAGGTGCAAAGAGTCGCGCCAACCAGAATTGGTAAGGTACTGTGAATCCAAGCGGCGATTACTGATAACATCCGCAAAAAAGTGCTGAACTTGTTGACTGCAGCATCCGTTTTGCAACAACCGTAGGTCACAAGAAACGAAAACAGGGCTGCTAGGCTCAGGTAAAAAGCTGGCGATTCAAAGATCCTCCACTGAGAGTTCACTGGCCGAGCATAGAAGAACATAGCTTGGCACGAGGTGAATGTGTAAAAACTGACCGCTGCGTAGTCGAAAAAGAAGCAGATTTTGTATCCTCTTTCAGAAATGGAGTTGAAAAGATGAGCAGTTGCACTGGAAGAGTACAAAATTACAGTTCCCATGGCTGAGGCCAAAAGTGGCAAATTGAAAGGATCTAAAATTGAGTCCACCTGAGTAGATGCAGCCGTTCCATAGCGTACGGCGAAGTATAGTGCCGCTATGATGTGGCTCCACACGTTAACACTCTCATTATTGATGTAGAAAAGGCTTTTCAAGCACTGCCAAGGCGTGCTGTAAGCTCGCCGGTATCCTGACTTGATGAAAGGTTCTCGAAGTCCCCCGGGCATTTCCTCTTCCTCAAAAATGACCCTGTCATTATCGATTGCACCAACTGTCAAGCTACTATTATTGTTGGCAGCTGTGGTGCTAAGGCTGTTTCGCTGTCTGTCTACCATCCTTCGGCCTCTGTTAACGATAGCAAAAGCACGTTGACCTGTGTAGAGAACAAACAGTAAAGATGCATTCGCTTTTAAAAGTTTTTGTTTGTTTTTGCTATGGCAAAAAAATTGACCTACATATCCTTGAAAAACCCACCTCCCAAATTCTGAAAAATCAGTTTTGTAAAAGGAACAAATGAGAAGGAAGGAAATTCTGTTCTGCCATGTGTTTCCACGACAAGTCATTGCCAAGCTTTCTTTACTATTCGTCTGTAAATAGCAAGAAATTTGCATTGTGTTTTGGTTATTTTCAAACACCGATTCTCCAAGAGATTGAGGCTCTCACACTTATGTAATTCTTCCTTTGAAATTGGTCTCAAAACTTTACTTAATTTTCTAAACATCAAGGTGACCATAGCAACCCAAAAGCCTAAAAAAAACCCTTAATCTGCTTCTTTTGTGCCCTCAGCTAAAAAGACAAGTTCGGTGACCACATTATTGTCATTCACTGAAATTGGTATTTAAATAAATATCATTCAGCTAAGTTAATGAAAGAAAAACTGCACATGAAGTTCAGATCCACCTTAAGAGTTTTAGTCTGACAGAAATATAGAGTTGGAATAAGAGTGTTTCTTAAAGGCTGCGGTGTTAATATGGTATACCTAGATTTCATTGGAATGATCAAAACATATATTGACCAAATTGGACACTTTTTTAACACTGTTTCAAAGGGAACACACGAAAAGTTTGGTGGTATTGATAATTCCTAAGGATTGGTATTAATAAATAATGAATCAATTTTATTATAAAAAAATTGCCATAAAAGACCATGATATTACATTTAAAAAAGAAAAAAAAAAACTAGTTGACGACGTCTCGAAGTCAACTTAAAAAATTATAACTTAAAGCTAACCGAAAAGTTTTGGAGTCCACTTCCACGTTCAACTTCAGTTTAAGTTATTTTGATGAAAAGCATTTCAGAAACAGGACTAAACAATCAAACCTACTTGGACATTTCCTCAGAATCTTAAAGAGGCTTTTGTTAAGAGTGCACTGTAATGAGATGTTTGGCAACCACACAGCCCGACGCCTTTTTCAACGCATTGCTGAAAATAATTATTCGCAATTACTTTTTTAAAAGGAAAATTGGACTCCTTGAGATTCAATGCCTGTTGAGGGAAAATTTCTTTAAAAAATCAGCACTAGGCCATAGGACTAAAGCTAAGTTACATTATTTGGCACAAGTTATTCAGACTAATCTTTTTCAGACGAATGAATAAACTTGAACGGAATTTTAAAAAAATTATCGACAGCTGTTGGTTAGTTTTAAAATACTGAAGGAGAATAATGTCAAAAGCGAACTTTATCATCGGTCAGTTGGACTTTGCTTGCCAGGTTCAGTTTGTTGCAGACTTTGGAATTTTTTTCAAATATGAGTTCAGTTTGTCACAGACTTTGGACTTCTTCCAAATATGAGGAAAACTGGGCCTTAACGGCGACGGTGCATAAATTTGTTTAATGATGAGGTGTAACAAGTTGCCTCGTCAACGTGAAATACTTGCTTAATTTACACAGATATCCCTTGAACATGGAAATAATGCTCTGATGGCAAATGAAAATAAAACTAAGGATCACTAAGACGAGAGAGATTTTTCACACGCGGCAAATAAATTGGTTCAATTAACTTGTCACGTACCTTAAAAGCGATAACAACATTATGTAAATCTCGACTAAAAATCACAAATAGTTTATTTTCTCTTGCAGCACGTATCACTTAAAATTATTTTCGGAGTCATGAAAACGAGATACTTGCGCTCAGAACGGTGCAAATCAAATTTGCTAAGAATTCACTTTCGTAGCTGCTTTGTAGAAAATAAATAGCGCCTACTTAAGCTCACTAAACAATACACGTATGTTAATACGATAGAGCCTCGTGTGTAATCAGCTCACTCTTAAACCCTGCCGCTCAAATTTCGTCCTGGCTAGAGTTCTAGCCCATTTCTAGTTTGGAAATAGAATCTATAATAGCTGATGGATTTCAGTAATTTCAGTTCAAATGTGAACACCGTGATTGTTTACGATAGAGTGCAAAACGGATAGAAAATTTCAGTTTCACGAAACTATCACGATATTCGTTTAACTTACCGAAATTTTCAACAGTTTTTTCCCTGTCAGGATCCCAGTTTCATTCAGAATTATTACAAATTGCCTAACATGAGGCTCGCATGCTTCTGTCGCGTCTTGCGTCAATATACAACAACGAAACGTAAACAAATAGGTGATGCTTGGTTTGCGGTACAAGTATAATTAGTATGCAACTATTTAATTCAGTTTCATATTATGCATAACCGGTATTAGCGAGATTACAAATCATCAGAATTTATTAAGCGGCAAAAAAAAAAAAAACGGTAGAGTTTAATGACTTTTTGTCGCAGAACTACGAAAGTATAGAAAAATTGCAATTGGTATTTAGTTTGCTTGGCAGCCACAGCGTTTTTGGACCAATATAGAAAAGAAAATAGCGACAAGCTCGATGTTTTTCCTCGCCTATCGAGCCAAACTTATGACAAAAAGATAACTAGCGCTGCACTATTCAGCCGCACGCCTCACTGGAGAGTAAGTTTTATGAGTCCGCATAAACAGCTAGAGAACCTCGCAAAAAAACAAAACAAATTCGAGTCAATCACCACAGTGCGACAGTTTAGTTATTATTGTAGTAAAACTATCATATCAGTTAATCATCCATCCATAAATATAACGTGAAAAGATATCAATCGTTAAAAAAAACGTAGTCGGCCAAAAAAACTAGCTATCTACATATATGAACCACGAGTCGGAACTGGTTGGGGTTTCATGCGTCAGGGGAACTCTCTTTAATCTTAATCAATCAGGACGAAAACAACCGAAGATGACGTCGATTCAAAGATGAATGAATAATTTTCGCAAATGGCTGGAAGAGACAAGTGCTTCACTTCATCAGAACACACGTGAGAAGCGTTGAGTCCCAATACAAACTGCAACTTAAGTAATTTCCTGTCGGGGTTCACGACCCCGCAGATTATGGTACTTTGACTTGGTTGTTTTGCAGAGGACAGCTAAATAATGTGCAAAGTCGAAAAACGCACTTGCTAAGCTATTGTACAATCAAGTAGATATTTCGTTTTGACACGTCCTCGTTGCCATCGCCTTCTTGCTGAAGCTAACGTAGATCAATCATTTTTCCAATTGTATGTTTAATGTAAAAACGAGTTTCGTCGGTAATCGTTAAAAACAAACTCTACTTGCCCCTTCAGAGCTTCCAGAACTCCAGTTTTTTGTCGACTGAATTGATCACGAATGGAAAAAAAAGTAGTATCCTCTCGAATAAATTTCCAAGGTCTAAATTCTCATTTAAAACATAATTCGCTTCGGTACAACTGCCCAGAGAGACTCAATATAGTACAACAGGTTTCTTTAACATTAATATATTATTCAAATATCATGATTTAATGTGTTTACATTGCTCATGACCGCAGTTGATTTTTTTTAACGTAATTCGCACCCTGGGCAAGTAAAATGACACATTACTAATGTGTAAAATGGGCCATTTTAGGTTGCAATACGAGGCAAATAAGGCATATTGGTTTCAAAGCTGACTGTCACTGAAGCGAAAATATGTTAAAAATAATGGCGTTCCTTTTTGACTTGCTAATTAAAACAATTGAAATCTTTGGAATAAAAAATAATGACAAATGATATTCCCAACTGAATTGGCATCGTTTTCGGAACGATTGTTTAAGACGAGTTTTAAAATTGACTGATTATCGAGGTTGATGAAGCTGGAATTTTGAAGAGGTGTGAGCGTGACTCGTGCGTGATCGAATGTAGGAGACGGTAGAAAGGTTTTCTGAACAATTTAGAGCGAGTGACGCCTTTCCGGTCGCACAGGATGCTCTTAATACTCCAGCCGAGATTCGATTCACGTCATCACTCATCAAACATTCTTTCTGAAAAGTAAAGAAGCTACTTTTCAACGGCAAGAGTTTATCTCGAAATGAAAAACGGATCCAGGAACATATCGTGTGATCAAGCGAAACTGAACAACAACCGAAACCACAACAACGAATCGATCAAATCGACATGCAACGGAGGGATTCTTACAGAGAAGAAATTACTCTACAACTTCGACGAAGTTGCACCCGATTTCCAAGAAGCTTTCATTCTTAGTGGGTATCGGAAGCCTTACAGCAGCACCTGGGAATGTTTACAAAGCCTTTTCTACGTTAACAATGAGACTTTTAATATGTGGAGCCATATCGTGGTGTGTTTATATTTTGTCGTGCGGTATTCCGTGGTCCTGATTGAGTTAGGAAGTTCGTCCTCGCCGAAACAAGATTTTTATTATCCAATGTTATCATCGGCTATCGGGAGCGTCACTATCTACGCGTTGAGTGCTACAGCTCATACATTTAACTCACGGTCGGAAAAGCTGCACAGAGTTTTCTACTTTTTTGATTATGCCGGTATTAGCATCTACACCTACACCTCCGGTCAAGTTATGTTCTTCTACAATCGACCCATTCAAACTGGATGGCGAATTTTCGAATCTGCATTGTTTTACACAATCATTGGCGCCAGCTTATCTTTTCTGGCAACTTTCTTTTGCTGCCAGAGTAAAGTTGGTTTACGAAAGCACGGCTCGGCAATCCGCATAATTCCAGTGTTCGCTGGCTGGTTGAACACTGTATTATCTCTTGCAGTTGGCGTGACAATGTGTAGCTGTCACGCTGTCACGACATGTCAATCTTTCATCGCCTGCAATGAGCTGCTAATCACGTACTTTCGACGTCACTGCTTTTACTCAATCGTGGGCGGGTTGATTTATGGAAGTAAACTTCCAGAACGACTCTTGCCAGGAAAATTCGATATCATAGGAAGCAGCCATCATTTTCTTCACATTTTTGGCGCCCTCTCCACAGAATACGCCTTCAAAATTCTGCAAGTTGCCATAGAAAGTCGTCAGGATTCAAGAAACGAAGTTTTGGCGAAGTCACTGATTGGTATATCGATCTGGGAGACATTGTTTCCTACGGCTGTAGTATTTGTCGTTAACATCGCCATAGCTTCTTGCTTTGCAAAGTTGATTTATAATTCCAAAGATGAAATAACCATCAAGAAAAAAAAATGAGTCATACAAATGTCAAAGTTATCATTTAAAATTTGACATTTAAGGAATCATTTTGAGGTGCACAGAGGACCACCATCATTTATCGCCGGGGGTCGGGGGGGCTGTCGGATTTTGGTACTGTCACGATAAAGTTTACCTGATCCTACCATGAAGCTTTGTAATATATTTTTGATCCCCCTCCCCTCCCCCCCCCTCATTAATTCTTCTAAGACTCTATTGGCAACGACTGATCACCTCTCCGTTTCCTCATGAAAACCATGTGATCGGCCTCAAAATCATTTGCTCCCCGATCCTCTCAAGCGATAAAAAACGATTAGTCTTCTTATTTTTTTTTCTTTTTGTCGAATTTTGGAGTGAGGTTCATTTACGTCGGTTATGTACAGGGTGGGGGGAGGGAGGAGGGCAAGACCTTGTAGCCATAATAACCAAAGAAAAGGCAAAAGTTTCCCGGGCTTATTTTTCTAGCTAAGCCTAAATATAACGTATTTTTTTCAGTATTTATTTGCAGTTTGTAACTTGAAAATATAAAGGAACTGTTCGTAATAAACGCTTGTTAACTGAGTTAATAAAAATACGCTTTAAATGCAAATTGAAAACAGCCCTTTGTTGACGGAGAATGTTCAGTTTGTGGAGGATTAGAGACACAACAATCATCCTTCTCTTTTCTTTGCTCATTAATAACCTTTAAAGCTATCCCATCACACTCCACCTCGTCCCCACTGACCTCCAACGTCATCCCACCACTTCCCCCTCCGTCTTGTCAAAACCAAAGTTTCAAAACGCGGCGTAAGCCTATATCATTTTTATTTACCTGCCCATTTTGACGTACATAACAACGCAAGCACAGCTGGCTTACTAAACTTTTATCGCGTGAAAAATGTAGCTTGTACGGCGCTAGATCAGTTGCATTGAGGAGTAAGTTATTAATTAGAGATTCCCGAAGTCTCCGTCTTAAAATCACTGTAAGTAAGAACCTTTAGATGAAATAATGTTTTGCCCATTCTCGGGCAAATCAAACGCATCTTCACCAAATTGGTTTTTGACACAATGACATCTCATTGAAAACATCCAAGGCACCTCTCCCAAATGGTCTCTTTCCAACTAACACCCGTCAGCCATCTTTGATGACACATGTATCAGTGATGTCAACTATTATTAGTTGATGCGAGTTACCAGTCGCGATCGCGAGTTGTAATGAGCAATCGCACGTTACTGGGCTATCGCAAAATAGTAACTTGCGATTGAAAAGAAGGTCACAAATTTGCGCAACAGAACTTTACTTGTATTTTACTCGCTTGACTCTATACTAACTTCTCGTACTCAACAATCGGCAACTGTTCACGCACTAGTGCGTGAGGTATTTCGTGATTTCTCCTCGGTTTTGATCGTCACTGAAAGTTGGGACGGGTACGAATCGATCAGCGGATCTGTTACAAACCGACATTAACTGGGTTCGATCGTTCAAATTGTCTGAATTTGGGTACGAATCCTTCGAGTACAAAAGTCTATGGGTACGAAAAGACTGGATACCGGCTGGCACACCACAATCTCCTCTCAGCTGACCGTAATGAGGCGGGAGGCTAGTTCATGATGCTCTTTGGCTGCCTAGAGATGAAAAGAGCTCGGCTAATCACCTTCAAACTAGCCAATCAGCGCGCGCGGAAAGCATTATTCAGCTTTGCAATATTCAAAATTTGGTGATAATTCCTTTTCATTAACTGTAAAAATATAAACTTTCTGAATTAAACGACAAATATTCTTCGACACAGTTTCGACTGGTAGTTTACAATGGAAATTTTAATTTGCTATTGGGAAAACAGCTGGCCTTCGGCATATCTACAACCACCAATAGTTCCATACATCAATTGGTGCTTTTCAGCATAAATAAAGTTAAAAGTAGAGCGAATCCAGGGCAAAGAGCCAAAAAGGGGTCTGCTTTCAGTGTCGAATGAAAGCACGCACAATCTTCTGTAGCAGCTGAATTTTTATTTTCCTGTTTGTTTGCTTGTTTTTTTTTTCCATGTGACATATCGGGTTTCATGATAAGAAAGGATTGCTTTGACAGGAGTGGAGATGAGTATTTCAATGATTCGGCGGGCAATAAGTAACTCAAGACTTGCAGCTGCAAACTCTGCCAACCTCTCAATGTGGCTCCACTACGCAGTTACTAAATTGATTTTTTGTATTCAAAGCGAGGGAACAGAAGAAATCTGCTAATGAATTCACGTGAAAAGACTGAAAGTTGACGTAAGTTGGAAAACATTTTTCCCGAGATGCCATGTGAAAATGCGAATTGCAAACGAAAATGCAAATGCAAATTCTCCAGTCTGCTGCAAAGCGCAACATTTTTTTTCAAAAGTGCCATAGACATGACATCGCGCATCTAAAAAATATACTCAGAATTGGTTACTATGCGACTTCTTTTGAAATGAGGTTGAATTAATTGCTTATTTTCCGTTTTCAGATTGGTCAGCTTTATATGCAACTGACCCCAAGAAGGGTCCTTTCTATTCCTCCTTCGAGGAGGGACTCTGGTTGCAGCTGATCACGAACCTTTGTAGAACAAAGAACGCCGTAGGGAGGGTGGATCCTCGACTTAATTTTTCTGGGAGACACGTAACCAGCCGCAACCGAATCACCTCCCCCAGGGGTCAAGAGAGGGGACCCTGAGAACGAGGTTGCAATTAATTAAACCTAAATTCTACGTCATCCTTGTTTGCTTTGGTCCTAAGCACTGATTGGCTCGTAAGAATCAACGGAGAGTAGGACTGCATGATTTACTCGTACTGCAGGAAACCCAAGGTAATTTTAGTGGCAGCGTTACTTGACTCCTAGCACGTAACGCAGTGGCAATAAAAAAGATAGAGAAGAATACTGGTTTCTCTCGATTAACCTCAAATACTTCACTCTAACGGCTTCTAGGTGTACCCGCCGAAGAAAGAGGACTTCAGAAACAGAAAGCATAAATGTCGTATCTGCCAAAACTAATAATGATAATAAATTATAATAATGCAAATAAACAACTAGCAAAAAAATTAAAAACTACTTACCGTGTGCTGAGGTTCTAAAGAGTAACCTAGACTGTAAAATATGTTTTAAATATCGCGACTACGGACGCTGCCATTTTAGACACAACCCGCTGCCATGTTAAAAATAGCTCCGTAACCTCGCCGCAGATGCATAGCGGCCCAGCCTTTAACTCATATGGCGGGAGCGCGGTCGAACAACAGCAGTTAGTTGAAGAGTCAACTTCTATTTTCATTCAACTCAAACCCAGATGATTTCCGATTTTATTTTACTGTAAGGAAAGTTTTAAGGCAGTTTTGCAAAATATGCTAGGGGGAGAACATGGAAACAGCTCTCCTGTGCTGTCGATGGATATTGTGTTTCGGTTCCCTTACCGAAGTCTATCGTGTGGAGAAAATGTTTTCAGTGTCCGACAAATTGCGTAAACCTGCGGGAAGTTTTTCTTCATTACGCGGTGTTTGAAGACTTCAACGACTTCAGTAAAGTCAGAGTTTAATTCGTCAATTACGTTCACATGGAACCTTGTCATCCGGTAACTGGCACGTGTAAGTGTGACCCAGGATTCTTTGGGGCCCGCTGCTCTAAAGGTAGATGTCACTTAATACGGTGTTGAAAGTGAATTTTGCCCCTTGTTTTACTGTAATAATGCCTCCTTCACAGGTTCCCCTTCAGAGTCCTTTGTAGCAGGGTGCAGAGAAAAATGCAAGTACCTGGCTAATCACACAGAAAGGTGCCACTCTAAGGACGGAACATGTGACTGTAAGCGTGGTTACTTAGGCAAACACTGCTCAAGCAGTAAGTTTTCGTTCGGTGACTTAATAAAAAGAGAGGTTAAACTGCGGGTATTTTCTTGTTCTTCTTGGTGAGAAAAGTAACCTCATGGATGACCCATGGATGACTCCTGACGCCTATTTACACCTCGTCAGAAAAGAAACAGCTAATTAATGATCGTATAAGAGGACCTTTTGTTGCAGCGTTTAGATCACCACTGAAGAAGGCATTAGACAGGAGTGTCGAAACGTTGGGTTTATGAATTGCAACTTCTTCGGTTACATTTATTAAATCTTTAAACCAGAGTAGCATCAAACCATGTCTGATTTTCCACCTGGTTGCAATGTGAACTTAAATATATTTTGCTGCTGTTAATTTAATTTTTTTTGCCGAAGAAAATATCATTGGATAAAAAAATTCGTTGTTAAAAAAAAAAAACAGTTATAAACAACGTTATTGATAAAAACAAAAGGCCACTAGTTTGTTGATTCGACTGAATAATTTCAACATCGGATCGGACTCTCCAATTAGGGGAAAGAGGAAAAGAGAAGGAGGAACACACGAAGAATCGAAAGGATCAAACTTGTTTCTTGCAATGGTGATCTTAATTTATTGTACGTGTGCTTGAGTCGAACGACAAGGAGATCAAATTCTTAGTTTTGAATGTGTGAAACAGAATGCGCACCGTGCGACTTTTCTCTTTTCCCAGAAGTGATTAACACGTAATCTCCTCCTAAGATAACCATACACAGTTCAGCAAACAGGTGATGAGAATACACAAACTAATCAGGTAGAATTCTTTATCTTGATGTAACACCAAATTCTCTTAACTTATTTACACAAAGACATGTGTAACAGCGAGAGGGGAGAATTAGCAATCAGATTTTGCGAAGTAAAGGAGAGAGCTGACCTTTGGCTCCCGCGTAGCAAACAGAAAAAAAGTTAACAGAGCTACCAGTCTGGTAAATAGACAGAGTTTCCTTTGTTTCGTTTAAACATCTGTTTAAACGTTCTCCAAGTTTCAGCGCCTCGTTTATTTTACGGTACCACAGTCGTCAAAATTATGTCATGTAACTTAAAATGTCCTGTAACTGATGTTTTTACAGCAAACTTACTTTGATTCTTGGCCAAATACAAATGTCACAGTAAAACTCTCTGAATGCTCAGCTGTTACATGTGTTGAGAAAAACTAGGCATTGCTCTGAGGCAGCGGCAACCAGCTACTTTACTGTGTTGACTGAAAATGGAAAAAGTGTTCCTTGGTTTAATTTTGGGCTTCATCGGCTTTGCATTCTCGCGAGGTACTACAAATTTAGCTAAATTTGTTTCAGGAATTTTAAAGTGATATCTTCGATGAAAGAGTATATCTTGAATTCTTGAGCTAAGAAGATTTA